CTACATGAAATTTCCTGTCTCATTCCCTGCCCAGAAGTCCTGGGATGCTCCAAAGGACCAAGGTCAAAGCCAAGGTTGTCTGGGCTGATGTAGACACAGCAGCTGAGGTGAGTGATCCTGGAGCACCGTCACAGTGGCACCCAGCCACATTCCCACTCGGTGACACGAGGGTCAACCGAGCGTCAGCGGAGCAGCTGTATCCATGTAAAGGTGGTAGACACAAAGAGGAGCAAGGTCCCCTATGGCTGTTTAAAACACTTAACTGAACACCTGCAGCCTCTGTACTTTCAAAGGAAATACATTTTATTTCAGAGATTTACAGTAGCACTTTGTGCACACCCATCACCAAACCATGAACCTGTATCCCCAGATTGTGGAGACACACAGATTTGGGCTGATGTAACCTGTGAAGGGCAATCCAAGACCCTGCTCTGGAGGTTCACCATGGTGGCCTGGCTTCTCTCGTGGAATCAAGGAATCACCTCTCATGAGCGTATCCCCTATCTGTCATCTAAGAAAACAAAATATTCCAGCTCAAGTGTCCGTGTTGTGCTGCTTTTGACAGATGTTTCATTCTTAATATGCATGTGATTCACACTGCATTAACCTGTAGGTTAATGTGTCACCTGTAGGGTGACAAATAAGCTGGGGAGGCTTTGACACCTCACTTCTTGAGCAGGGTGAACCTGCACTGCAGCTCGCGGCCACAGGAGCAGCCTGTGGTACCGACCGATGCTCTGCTATGAAACTCCTTTGCTGGTGCGCATTGAGATACTCGCAGCAACACCTGCTCTGAGAAATATCACGCAACCTCCAGAGTCGTTCAAAGCGCTGAGACAGCCAAAATCTCTGGCAGCGGCTGGAGGCTTGGGAGGTTTGCTGAAGTGGCGCACCTCGAATGCTGGCGTCGCCACCCTGAGCGCTATTGGGGAGAAGTCCCTTGAACACGTCTGCAGCGGGCTCTAAAAATCTGAAATCCATGAGCAATGACCCCCTTTGAGAGGCCGGGGTAACGCGGAGCAAACGTGCGCCCATCGCAGAGGATTCGCGGCCCGTGCTGCGAAGGTCTGTTCGCTAGAGCGGGTGGCAGCCCTGGGCGGCAGAGCGGCC